TTATGAATAATAATAAGACTAAAGTGGTGTTACGCCGTGCCCGACGTGTCATTGAGAAGCAAGTTGTCCGCGATAATAAGCTGAACTTGCGCTACATGCTCATTAACAACACATTAGCGACATGTGCATAACTGCCTACAAGACGTAGGCATGTATAGATAGATGTAGGGATTATTGTTATGTATAGAAACAGCCGCTGCGTCGCAACACGTGTGAGACGTAACTGACATGACTTTAAGTGTAACAAATGATTTACTTTCAGGGGTCTCGCTCTCGGGACCGGGTGCGTGGAGCTATGGAAGTAAGCAGCATTGTACTAACATCACAGCTTGTCGTGTCGAAGCACGGCGACGCATATTGCAGCACAGTGCAGCGCTGTGTCGCTACACTCCATACTAATACGCTTTTATTGTGCCGAGGGTCGCTGCAGCGGGCGAGCTAAGTTGTGTGTCACGGTCGGTCATTGTGTCGCCCCGGTCACTGTGCTGACTAGTATGACTGCTGCTTGTCATTGTTGCGGTGCTCATAGGGGTTCACAGGTCATTCGATGTATCTCATTGCCGACGATTTCATTCAAGTGTGGCAGCCGTCATGTTGTGGTATGCCGGACGACGGGAAGGGGAAATGGTGATTGTATCTTTGTGTGCTTTACGTATGGGCTAAGCTAAGTTGGTTTTTTGTTGTGTAATTTAATTATTGGGTTTTACTTTAGAGAATAACATATGTTTTTATGCACTTTATAGGTGAATAGATCTTCGATCTAAAACGTTTTAAGTCGGAAGAGTACGGCAACGGTAATATAAAGGAATATTGAAAAGAGTAGAGCAATACTCTTCATCCCCCTATCCCCCATGACCCGACCGGCCCTCAAGTCACACGTGCCGAATCACGGGACGGCGCGGTCTGTCGGCGTGAAGTACGAATAGTGCAGTAGTAGAAAACTAAATAATTGGTAGTATCCATTTGTGGTTGCAATATCATGATGAGTTACTGGCTGGCGATGAGCAACCGCATGTACTGCTAGAAGAGTCATACTTATGGTGTATATACCGCAACATTTAAAGTAGATTCTTAACTTCAGAAATCCGGGATACTGGGTAGAGGAACGTCATAGCGCAATTGCACCTCTGTCCAATATACAATAGTCTGTCAATAGCTATTACATATATGAAAGTGACTCATGCAAATATGATCCTGATTTATACAATTGTGTGACATTCTTTCCATTATTAACCCAGCTAGGACACAATAGACAAAGCGGGGCACAATTAGCGGGCGCAGGCGGCATTTGTGAGGACAGTTCTGGTGACTGGTAACCACACTTGTCACCAGTGCAACATTCTTTGACGATGTTTACACTCATCGATATTACAAAGTCTTCAAATTTTAATAGTTCATGTACGATTAACCTGAAGTAACTCTCACCTACCGATTTGCTCTGTGACCACAGAGCACAATAATTGTTACGTCGACCCTGACATTTACTTATCTTATCAAAACTTTTGTTATTGACGCAAGAACTAAAGTGCGATATATTTTTTGTCGCCTTCGATTGATCATTATTTTATGCCCTTAACCTCGACCGTGGAGGTGCAACGCATCATCGCCGGCTCGTTTTTACATCTGAATCGTGCCACTGCGTCGAACTCAAGGTTTACTTGAGATGTTTATTAACAAAGTAATTATTTCCGAGGAAAAATCCCTTTCTCTTTTGTATGAAAATATTCTATTAAAGGCCCAACGGACATATCTTTCATTTCTAAAGACAGTGTGTCTGTGTGAATATCCTTGCGGATTGTGGCGTGCAATCTCCA